AGTGTATGCCGCGGCAGTTTGGCCAGTTCTGCTATACGGTGCAGAAACTTAGCCATTAAGAAAACAAGATAAAGACAGAATGTCGGTGTTTTAATACCGCTGTCTACACAGAACTGCACGAATCTGGTGGGGTAGCCGGATGAGCAATGCTGAGGTTAGGGGCAGAGTTTTGGATAAATACGGTCGCCCACTGGAGCAGGTGGTCGACCTCCATAGATTACGTTGGCTGGAACATGTGTTACGCATGTCACCAGGTAGGTTACGACGGCGAGCGATGTTCATTGAAGCAGATACCGAGTGGAAAAAAGCTAAGGGTGGTCAAGTTAAGACCTGGCATGAGGGTATGAAAACCCTAACCAGGAAACTGGGTCACATAGGTCCTGTTAGGCTCCCTGGCTGGGGACTTCGGGATGATCGTAACCGATGGTTAGAGACACTGAGCGATATGGCTGGGTGTCGTTAACAGTAGCGTTCGTGCATCTGCTCAATTTCTTTGCAACCTTAGACCACTGAACTTCTCCATTTAATTTTCGACTCCGCTTCCAACTTTCCTTTCTTCTCCTATTCTTCATCCCAATGGGTAGCCAAAAGACAGCAACCAAAACCGGTGCTCGAATATGCGTGGTTGATGGTTGTTCAAACTGAAACTGAACTTATGCTGAATTGGCTATAGGGAGAGATAGTTAATGCGAGGGTAGTTACGCTGTTGCGGCAGCTGTTAGTAAAATTTACCCCAAAACGAAGGCCATGAATTAGCATGGTGGACTATTTTACGAAAAAGTCGAAATTTGTGCGCGAAGAGACATTACGTAAATATTCTCCTGCACACGATACCCATTACACTTGATTGTTTGGTCTTCACGAACACGCTACAGATGGACAAGAATTGGTAAAAATTAGAAGGGTCATATCCACTGGCTTTTAGAAATAGCTAGTTTACCATTTCTATCAAGATCATGAACAAATGGTATATATACTTACGCGTTAAAGCTGTAGCGCTTTGTACTTCAGTCCATATACGTTTACCGTTTTGACCTAGTGCGTTTCTCACTGTTGGCGAAGCCAACCGAGATCCTAAGTCTAACCGTTTGTACTGGGTTTTCGTGAAGACATCTTTCACTTAGTCTCGTTTGTTGTGCGATTACGATGATAGCCTTAGTTCGCTTCAAGTGAGAACAGCGATTGTTCTAAAGTAAACAGTTAGTCAGAGTTAGGTGATCTTGTTTGGAAGATATAACAGTACCCATTCATATCGTTGTTCTACACCGCTCAGATGTGAAAGTAGTTCAGCGGAAAATTAGTTGTTATGACGAAATAAGGTGGGCGAAATTTACTCATCATACTGCCCCCGGGTTGCCTCTTCCGTAGTTCAATAAATCCATGCGGAATTCAAAGGATGACATGTAAAACAGATGTGAAGGACAGGAGACTCGGTCAACCGGTGGTGTAAAAAGCCTAACGTCACGAAGGGGAAACAACCGTTGTATCATCATATCGCAAATCTGATTGTTTGGCTGAATCTCTCTGCACGGTTCGACCAGGTATTCTCTTATTGGCCATTTCTCCCGGTTCTAATACATCCATTTGCTGTCTGCACCAAAGGGCTCGCTCAAAGTACATACAGTGAGCTTAGAAAGGAACACAATCGTGGCTCGTCGTTCAGTTACACCATGAATGTGTTGGCATTTTTATTAAAATGCAGATCTTGAAAAAATCACCAGGGTGGGGGGAGGGGGAAATTCTCTCAAAACCAATTGCCCAGTACACACTGACCAATCATAGTGTTCGTCCTGACTTCTATCGCATCTCGAAAACTCATTATTCATCCCGTTCGCATTAACCACAAACAGAAGGCAGCGAAAGAATTTCACCTTGACTAAGTTCTGTATAAGCAAAGAATGTCAGCTAAAAGCGTTTTTCTATCTGCATTGCATTACTTCGCTCGGTGTAGAATTTGAATTACCTTTTTCGCTTGGTACTGAAGCACAAACAATCATAATATCTCCCGAAGTCATGGAAGTATGAATAAAAACTAATTATTGGTAAAATCAAGCAAATGTGAAATCCAGAACAAGAAAGTAGTCTGACATTTTCCACTGTCACATTTTTTGTCGGTTTGATTTTCTTTGAGCTAGTCAGGCCAAGAAAACATTTATTTGAGCTGAAGGTAAATTGACGACGCAATTGAATGAATCCAGTAGAACGACACATGATCAGGTATACGGTGCAGAAAACAACCGCACTGTAATATGTATCTAAATAGCGATCCACATCAAAGAGTGCGCAAGACGGAATGGTTCACGTTTGTAACAGGAATGAGGTCATGGTTACCCTGCGGAATTTCGAGGTGGCTCCCTCCTAGATCTGAATGAATGCCTCCATATAGACACACCGGTTAATCATGAAAATGCATACACGAACTAGGAGTGAGCATGGGGTTGCATGCCAACAGTGTGGACAGGGGAGTGGAACAGAACAGAAGCGTACCTGGAACATGGTTCGAACCAGCTTTTCATTAGACAACCAACGATCATCCATGCGATCAGACGGAAGTTTGCCAATCATAGTTGACTTGAGAACATCCAACAGGGTAGACAACAAAGTAGTCCTGAAGTGATAATGGTTTGATGAAAAGAGTTGGTATGCAACCTGGCAATTTATTTCTACTGAGCAATCAACACAATCACAATCGTCCCAACCAATATTGACTTCACATACGATATGATATATAACGATATTTATGTATTCGTTCCATTAGAAACCAGTAGCACTTATCAAGATTCAAACTGAAAGTTGAACAAACCACGGTACCAGCGTCTTTATGACAAAGAAACAAACTCATGGTTTGTTCGGGAGCATGATTCTACCGGACTGCACAAAATACAACGGGTGAGTTCTCTCTTGGAATTGACCATTAGAGCCTTTGGTTACTGAAAACCGGATCTGCCACGCAACATTGTAGTGTATGAATAAACCAGTTCATTGGTATGGGGTCCAGTAGTATGAATTTTACATCCTTGAAAACACAGTTCACACGTCAAGGATGATCAATATGTCCGATCGAGCAGTCGACCCGGGTGACCCCGAAGACTAGAGATCCATGCTAGCAGTCGGTGCATCTCTTCCTTGTAGGCTTGAACTCAGGGTTTTCCAAATCTCCGTAATCACGTTCAACCAAGTTATGTATTGATTTGCGTCTCATTGTGCTAATTTCGGATTCTATTGAGTTAGCGTCTAACTGTCTATCTGGGCGACAATATCTCATTTGGCTGAAACTGTCGCTTCCGTTAGTTAGTGATTGATTTCGCCAGCATTCCATTGTCGGAATTCGAGGTTACTTTGATGGATCGTTGGGGTTGTGTGGTACTCGTTCCTCCTGCTGATAGTCCAACCGTAACAAACGATACAAACATGATAGTACCATGTGCAAGGAAGACAAACAACATAGCCACACGTAACTCAGATAACCGAAGGCATTTGAATTCAGAGTCACTATCCAAGAAGAGGAGGTCTCTAATTGTTCATCCACTGTTTTTCAACTGCTTCACACGCGGTGTGACTGATTGAAGTGCTACAGCACGGCGAACTGATATCCAGTTGTTTCTTACAAGTAGGATAATGGTCCGCAACATCAACAGAGGGAAGGAGAAAAGCGCGAACAGTGAATTTTCATCACCCCCACCTATGTTCGTCACAGTTTTGGCACATTACCTGTTTTAATATGACGATGAAATAATTGAATAACACTCAGGGGCGCGTCAGGTTTTCACCAGAAGCAAGCAACAGCGGAAATCATCGGTGAACGATACGTCTTCCACACTGGCGGGAACGTGAACCCTTCTATAATCTATTAGAACTGATTATAGGTACTTCTCCCGGCACGAAAACGTGAATTCATTATGTAGTTGACGTGCATGCCGGTCACCATTTTAACACTACTGACGCACAGTACAGCTATCTTATGTTATGTCGACAGTGATATGCTTTGGATTGTCGTACAGTTTGTGCACAAAATATATGAATAAATCACAATGCTTTGCCAATTAACCTGTCCCTTCTTCAAACAGGTGGCCTTTAACCTAGCCAATCGATCAAATATCGGAACCGTAGAATTGCCACACGATCTGTAAGCGCATAATGAAGAATCACTGACAACAATCGCTGGTTATGAATGACCAAATGGATGTGTACTTAAACAGACCCGGAAAAATCAAAATATCGTTCCCTGGTTATCTTAAGACCGACTTCATCTCTTTCCGTGGCTAATGTGAAAACTAGTCTGTAGATAAGATGAAAGTTGATCCGCAATATTCATCATCCACCATTATTGGGAGCCCGTATTTTTGTATCATAAACAGGGACCAGGTACACTCAGATGATTCCAATAATTTGCCCCGCACACAGATTTCTGCAGGGAATACAAGTGTTGCAACATTCAAATATGGAGAGAATTCGTATTTGAGACCGAGGCTCAACGTTTTACTGATCGAACGGCGACGCTTACCACTAGAGTGTTCGACAGGATAGATACATCGAAGTCGACTTTGGTGGCCAGGATATTTATTTACTTACCACGATTCTGTGCTCAGATCGATATTGATCGCTGACGAGCGAAAGAACTGAAACACACTTCGGCACAGTTCAATCTGTTTTCGAACGTAATCCACCGTGTATGAAATACTTTTTCCTTGTGGGTCACGAATCGAGGTCTTCAAAACGGGAGGACATGTGAGAAGAAATATTTTCGACATATTGTCGAACATGACCTAGATACGAAAATAAAAGAAGAAAAGTGAAGTGACAACATCAATGACACACAACAATAGGTGTAAGTGAATTAGAAAAATGAGGGCGATAAAATTACTACGTTGCACTTAGCTTTAGAGCATTTTCTGTAAGTTAAGTGGGCCATTTTTTAAGGAATGTAGATAGTCATCAGAACCTATAGTGTGTATCTTCA